AGTCTGCTTCTGTAAAGATTACAGCCTTGGAAACCCTATGAAGTAGTTCTACTTTGTCCAGTAGGGCTGCTATGAGTCAGGATTTGACTTAACAGCAAGTTTTGGGTGTGTATATGTCTTCATAGGACTAGCTGCCATTGGTATTTGTCTCTCTTAATAGACTGTGAGGTCACTGAAAACCAGAGCGGTTTTGTATTAAACTTGTATCTCTAGCACTTAAAATAATGCATAGTACAGAGTATACTCGGCTATTTCTTAAATGAATGACTCAACTTCATTTTGCTCTTAATGAAACATAGCTAGAGGATCGTTAATAGCATACCAAAGGCCATTTAGATGGAAGTGGTGGCACCAGGTAGTAAGACCTAAGAAGTCTAGAAGCCTTTCTCTGCAGAGCTGAGTCTCCTAACACTCTCTTTAAGTGTCTCTTGAATACCATATCTAAACTTATATTTTGTTTGTCTTGTAGAGTCTCTGTGAGTCAGAACTAACTCGACAGCACAACACCTAAAAAGAACATCACGTCTTAGCTTTTTCAGCTTGCATTTGTTTATTCATAAATGACTTCTCTCTTTTTTAAAGGGTACGTTTTTCATTATAGAAATGGTGGCTTATTTAACGTAGGCTCTCTACGGAGCTCTGGTAGTGAAGTGGTTACGAATCAGGCTGCTAACTGCAAGGTTGGCAGTTCGAAACTACTAGCGGTTCCACAGGAGAAAGATGAGGTGGTCTGCTCCCGTAAAGATTTACAGCCTCGGAAAACCTGTGTATGTAGGGTCACTGTGAGTCAGAACCGACTCCATGGTACTTAACAACAACAACAACTCTGTGTAGTAGATCAGAGCTAGAGCTCCAGATACATACAGTCCTCATTTGAATCTCAGTCTTACCAGTTAGTTACCTGTTATTTGACCTTGGACAAATCCTAACTTTCTGGAAAATACATGTAGCTTTAAAAAAAAAAAGTCAATAATATTCCCTTTACAGACTTGTTGGGAGGATTAAATTATGCAATGTCAGAAAACTCTTAGAATAGTTCCTGGTGCATAGTAAATAATACCTACATGTATTCAGAAAGATGTATGACAGGGTTGTATTCTTTCACCATACTTATTCAACCTGTATGCTGAGCAAATAATCTAACAAGCTGGTTTATGTGAAGAAAAACGTGGCATCAGGATTGAAGGAAGATTCATTAACAACCTGCAATATGCAGATGATACAACCTTGCTTGCTGAAAGTGAAGACTTAAAATATTTACTGATGAAGATCAAAGAGCGCAGCCTTCAGTATGGATTGCATCTCAATGTAAAGAATAAAAAAATCCTCACCACTGGACCAATAAACAACATTCTTATCAATGGAGAAAAGATTGACGTTGTCAAGGACTTCATTCTTCTTGAATCACCTATCAACACTCATGGAAGCAGCAGTCAAGAAATCAAACGACATATTGCATTAGGCAAAGCTGCTGCACAAGACCTTTTTAAAGTGTTGAAGAGCAAAGATGTCAGCTTGAGGATTAAGGTGCACCTGACCGAAGCCATGGTGATTTCAATCACCTCATATGCATTTGAAAGCTGGACAGTGAATAAGAAAGACTGTAGAAGAATTGATGCTTTTGAGTTATGGTGTTGGAGGAGAATATTAAAAGTGCCATGGGCTTCCAAAAGAACCAACAGATCCGTGTTGGAAGAAATGCAACCAGAATACTTCTTGGAGGCCAGGATGGCCAAACTTCGTCTCTCATACTTTGGACATATTGTCAGGGGGGAGCAGTCTCTTGAGAAGGATACCATGGAGGTTCAGAGAGAAAGAGGAAGACCCCCAGCGATATGGATTGGCAAAGTGGCAGCCTCAATGCGATCAAGTGTGGCAACAATTGTAAGGTTGGCCCAGGATCAGGCAGTGTTTCGTTCTGCTGTGCATAAGGTCATTGTGAATTGGTATCGACTCGTTGGCACCTAACAACAACAACATTTATTCAGGAGTTCTGGTGTGGCACTGTTGGATGTTTGGAAACCCTATACGGGGTAACTATGAGTCTGAACCAACTTTATGGCACTAAACAACAGCAACACGTGTTCAGCTATATATTATTGTTTTTAAACCCATGGTTCTTAGCATAATTAGTGTAGTGACTTTCCATATGGACCACAAATGTAGAAGATTGAATTAATCATGTATCTCAGTTTATGGTATAGCATCACTATTGATTCTTGCAAGGCCATTGTTTTCTATATATTCTTATTTATTTCTATAGCTTGTTTATCATTCATCCATCTCTAATGTTGTTAAGTGCTATTGAGTCAGATCTGATTCATAAGGACCCTGTACAGGATTCCCAAGGAGCAGCTGGTGGGTTTGAACTGCTGACCTGGTGGTTTGCAGTCCAGTGCTTATCCCACAGCACTGTAGTCCCTTAGAATACTCAATATTGTTAAAGGTGTCAGTTGTTCCAAATTGATCCAGACATTTAATGGAATCCCAGCAGGTTCTTTTGTAGACATTGACAAGCTTTTTGGAAAATTTGCATGGTTAGTCAGAGGACCTAGAACAGCTAAATGGAGTCCTGGTGTGGTGCTGCGGGTTAATGCGCTGGACTGCAAAGTTGGTTTAGATTGCAAGGTCAGTGGTTCAAGCTCACTAGCTGCTCCATGGAAACCCTATATAGGGTCACTGTGGGTTGGAACTGACTTGATGGCATTTAACAACAAAAAGAATACCTAAAATAATTTTGACAAATAAATCATGTAGTGATTTCACGACATTGTGAAGTTTGGTATTGGTATAATGATAAACATGTGGATGAATCAAGCAGACTTAAAAACATCCCAAATGGTTCCATGTTTATACCATTACAGACCTTCAACAGAGATGCCAATATCGTTCAGGTCAAGAAAGGAGAGTCTTTTCAGCAGACTTGCTGGAATTGTTTGTTAGTCACATATCAAAAATGAGCCCTGGTGTGGTGCTGTAGGATAAATGCTGGCCTGCTAACCGCAAGATCGGCAGTTCAAATCTACCAGTTCTCACATACAGACACACAGCAACAACAGCCCTTACCTTTTATGAAAAATGGCTCCAAAGGGACCATGGACTTGAATGTTAAAGAGTTAAGCATGATAAAATTTACAGAAATTTCTGTTCCACAAAGAGGAGCTTGTGGAGGCAGATCTGCTCTGTCATATAGGGTTGCTGTGAGTCAGAAATTGTCTTACTGACACCCAACAGCAACACATTTTATTTGTATTGCTACTTCTAGGACATGAAACACTGAGAAGACCTGAAGCATCTGTGAGTGCCTAGTTGTTCTGACTGGACAATCACTGATTTGTTTCTTGTTATCTAGGTTTCACTTTTCTAGAAGTTCAGAATAAAGTGATCATATAATATAGAAATGAAACCTTTTGTGTCTGGTTTCTTTAAAGATTCATCCACAATGCTGGGTGTATCACTAGTTCCTTTTTACTAATGAGCTGAGTTCCATTCTATACATATCCCATAATTTGTTTTATCTATTTACCGCTTTTCAGTTTTCCAGAGTTGTTGGTTTCATTCTGTATTCCCCCTCTAAGAGTTTCAGCTGTTTCATATTTCTACATTTTTTAATGTGCATCTTTCATTTTAACTTAATACAGATATATAGCAGTATCACATTGTGGTTTAATTTGCATTTCTCTAATGGTGAGAACTTTGTTGCTAACTAAAAGGCTTGTAGCTTAAATCCACCAAGTGGTTCCAAGAGACAAAGACCAGGTCAGTTGCTTCTGTGAAAGATTACAACCAGAAAACACTATGGAACAGTTCTCTGTATTACATTGGATCACTGTGAGTCAGAATTGATTTTGTGGCAATGGGTAGTAAACAGATATAATGGTCTTTTGTACAAATGTGGAATCTAGGCTGGAAATAGCAAGCCAGAGGAGACACCAGCATAAAATTCCAATTGTCATTGAACTTCTCCATGAGAATAAAGAAAAGAAACTGTCTGTTAATGACAACTGGCAAAAATCATTTAGGAAACAACCGTTTCAAATTAAAGTTTGAAAACCATTTGTATGAAGAAGACTAATTTGTAACAGAACTTTTGCCTTTCCTCCACCCCCAAGAAAAACCTTATTTTAGCCTGTTTCCTTTCTTTTTTTTTAAAAGTTTTTATTGTGAATTAATTGAGTGATAGTTTACATGGGAGAACATTGGCTTTACACTCATTGTTTCATTGCATCCTCCTTGCCTCAGCATTCAACAATATTTGCTTCTATTCCCTCTGTGTTTTTGTTTTGGGTGCGGGGGGCGTACATAGAAACACTCAGGAATATATAATCATGTAAACAACCAAAGGGTATATTCGGCAAGCCTGCTGTATAATCATTTAAACAACCAAAGGGCACGTTCTGCAAGTGCCACCTGGCTCCCAGCATACAGCCTTTTCTCTTTCCATGAGTCTAGAGTCCTCAGCTGCTCTATTTTTCCGTGTCATCATCTTTGCCTCCATCTCTAGAATTGCTGCTTCTCTGGATAGGGTCCCACATTCCACTCGTGCTCTTCTCCCTTGATGGTCCTAGGGTCCTCTGTTCCTGGATTGTAAGATTAACTGCTCCCTCCTTTGTGTTACAAAACTTCTACCTTTACAGTTGTGACAGTCATAATTAATCATGATAACAGTTACTAATGTTGAATCATAAGAATCTTATCACCATCTCTTTTCACCAGACCCGTCTAGACAAGATGAAAACTATTCTATGGGGACTCTACCTTTACCCACACACTCTTAAACTAAACTCCCTCTTGAAAACTTGTAAACCAGTTACTTTGTGCCTTTATAGCCCCCCCCCCCCCCCATTTTAGGTAGCCAGTGTCTAAGTTGCCGGTCCTTATCAACCTAGCCTGTTTCTTTTGCACACTTTAAAAAATGTTTAATATTTTTTACAGTAGGACTTTCTTTATAAATACATTTTTTAATTGGCTATATAATTTACCTTGTTCTCTTTATTCAGATTGAAGAGTTGGAAGAGAAACTTAATGATGCTCTTCACCAAAAGCAGCTGCTAACATTGAGATTAGACAACCAATTGACTTTTCAGCAAAAAGATGCCAGGTAAGAAGCATTCAAAAACAGCAACAATGCATATTTAGTAGCTAAAACATTCAAAAACAGCAACAATGTATATTTAGGAATTGCTAAAGCAATTTCGTTACCAGTTTATGTGATTGTAAGCTAAAATAAAGACTAGCAAAATGTGAGTTACTAACCCATTAATACAGTACACAAATGCAAAACAAAACAAAACAAAATTCAGTATGCACTCAATAGAGAGATCTTGTGATGGTTAAGGTTTTGTGTCACCTTGGGTTGGTCAGGACTCTCAGTGGCTTAGAAGTTAAGATGTAATAATTCTTCATGATGAGATACAATGTAATGTGGTCTGTGATCTGATATGACAAGCTCTGTTCGGATAGAATTATCCTTGTTTAGTGCTGTGGAGTTAGTTCCAACTCATAGGATCCCTGTATAGGGTTTCCAAGGAGCAGCTGGTGAGCTTGAACTGCCCATCCGTACTTCTATGACGTTGATGAGGTCGAATGCAATCTACAGGACTAGATTGTATCTTGAAGTTGGAAAAATAAACAGAGAATGAGGGCTACCACCTAAAAAGTGAAGCCAGGAATAGAGTACATCCTTCGGGCCTGGAGTTTCTGTACTGTGACGTTACTAGATTCAGGAGAAAAATTGATGCTAAGACACATGGAGATCTCAAAGGAATGCTGGGCCTTCGTTGTTGTTAGGTGACGTCATTGGTTCTGACTGATAGTGACCCCTATACACACAGAAAGAAGCAATGCTTAGTTCTGCACCCTCCTCACAATTGTTGTTATACTTGATTCCATTGCTGCTGCTACTGTGCCAATCTATCTTGTTGAGGGTCTTCCTCTTTTTCTGCCGACCCTCAGCTTTACCAAGCATGATGTCCATCTCAAGAGTCTGGTCCCTTCTGATAATATGTCTGAAGTTTGATAGATGAAGTCTCATTATCCTGGTTTCTAAGGAGCATTCTGGCTGAATTTCTTCCAACACATATTTGTTTGTTCTTCTGGCGATTCGTGGTACTTTTAATCTCTAACACCATAACTCAAATGCATAAGTTCTTCTGCAGTCTTCCTTATTCATTGTTCAACTTTCACATGCATATGAGGCTATTGAAAATACCATGGTTTGGGTCAGGCACACCTTAGTCCTCAGACTGAAACCTTTACTCGGAAACATTTTAAAGCGGTCTCATACAGCAAATTAGCCTAAGGCGATACGTTGTTTATTTCTTGACTGCTGCTTCTATGAATGTTGATTGTAAATCTAATCAAAATGAAGTCTTTGACAACTTCAATCTTTTCTCCATTCATTATGAAGTTACTTATTGATCCAGTAGTGATGATTTTTATTTTTTAATTTTTTTTACTTTGAGATGAAATCCATACTGAATGCTGTAGTCTTTGATCATCATTAGTGAGTACTTTAAGTCCTCTTCTCTTTCAGCAAGCAAGGTTGTATCATCTGCATATCGAAAGTTTTTAATGAGTCTTCCTCTAATCCTGATGCCACATGCTTCATCATATAATCCACCTTCTAAAATTATATACTCAGCATACAGATTGAATAAGCATGGTGAAAGGATATTCAAATGACTGCCTCTTGGTCTATGTATAGGTTCTTCATGAGCACAACTAAGTGTTCAAGAAATCTCATTCTCTGCAGTGTTGTCCATAGCTTGTCGTGATCCACACAGTTGAAAGCTTTTGCATAGTCAATAAAGCACAGGTAAACATATTTTTAGTATTCCCTGCTTTCCCAAGAGACAGCTGACATCAGCACTGATAGCCCTCATTCCACATCCGCTTCTGCATCTAGCTTGAATTTCTGGCAGTTCTCTGTCAAGGTACAATTAGAGCTGTTTTAAAATTATCTTCAGCAAAATTTTACTTTCTAATGATATTGATATTATTCAATGACTTCCACATTCTGTTCTGTCGCTTCTCTTTAAAATGGGCACAAATATCCATCTCTTCAAATCAGTTGGCCAGGTAATTGTCTTCCAAATTTCTTGGCATAGATGATTGAGCAAATTGAAATGTTGAAAGATTTCAGTTTGTATTCTATCAGTTCCTGGAACCTTGTACTTTACCAATGCCTTCAGTGCCACGTAGACTTCTTTCTTAAGTACTATTGGCTCTTGATCATATTCTACCTCTTGAAATGGTTGAACACTGACCATTTCTTTTTGGTACGGTGACTCTTTGTATTCCTTCCATCAAGAACGTGTGGTATTCTAGAAGACCAAAAGATACTTCTTGAAAGGAAGACCAACAGGAAAAATACAAAACATGATTACTATAAGAACAAGCAAGCTGCTCGTCTAGGAAACATCAAGGCAAGTGGTCTTGTTCACTCTGGGCAAGCCCCCTTCTAAGACTAAGACTCAATGGGAATATACGCTCTGATTGGTGACCACGTTTGTCACCGATGAGGGGAAGTGAGG